ACATCACAACATTGAGGGAGGCACAGACCCTAGTCGGAGAACTCCAGTGGGTCACGTGCAGGAGCCGGCCAGATGTCTGTCATGCCACAGGAGTTCTGAGCCGAGCAATGCATCGTCGCCCAAGAGAGGTGTGTGAACAGGCAAGAGCGATCCTGACCTACCTAAGGGACACTGCTGACCGTGGCATTAACTTCCGGAAGGTGGGTGAACACCTATTGGGTGAGAAAGAAGAACTGAAGTTCCCAAGGGGAGAAGCGGACGTTGAGGCATATGCAGATGCATCATTTGCACCAGCAGCGGAAGCATACAAGTCCGTTCACGGAACGATTGTGATGGTGGCTGGCTGTCCCATCTTGTGGAGCTCGGCGAGGCAACCATTCATCACGGGCTCAACAGCGGAAGCGGAGTTGGTGGCCTACACAGAAGTGTTCCAGCAGGCTGATGGGGTGGCAACATTGCTTGAAGCCCTGGGCATTGAGAATGTGAGGAGGTCACTATATGGGGACAATAAGAGTGCATTGGCATTGTGTCAGGGTGATGTGGGGGCTTGGAGGACTCGCCATCTTCGACTACGTGCAGCGGGCCTGAGGGCGGCAGTGGGATGTGAGGTCAGTGGCTGGTACACACATCATGTCAAGGGGACAGAACTGCCAGCTGATGGGCTCACGAAACAACTTTTCGGGCCGTCCTTTGAGTCATTCGTGGACCAAATCGCGATGAAGGAAAACCACAGCGGGAGCCAGGCACAAGTGAAAGCAATGGCTGTAAGGCAGCGGGAGCACCAGGCGGAAGACGATTGGGCCATCATGATGGAGCAGCAGCCGGATGTTGAAGTTCCTCAACTACAACTGACCCTGGTTGAAGGGCGTACAGACAATGGAACGCCGTGTTACATTGCAACGGCGGCACCAGAAGGTGGATCAAGTGGAAGTGGCACGATTTCGTCAACGCTTCCCACGGTCACGACGGACTGGTCGACTCCGGACTCCACAAGGGCACAAGCAGATGGAAGCTTGGGGAGCGCGGCATCGGCGTGCCAAGGCCTGCATCGACGAGGTGGAGGTGATCAGCAGCCGAAGGCGATGGCATCATGTCCGCAACCACCCCTGGGCTTGCAGCAGGAGGCTACAGGTGCCTATGAGATGTTGATGGAGGCGAATCAGGCCCCGTCCCTGAGTGGAAGTGCGGAATCACCGTACGTGTTTGACTGGCCGGATGATGACCGGATCAGTTGGAGCAGGTTGGAATAGGGTCTTGAGCTGTTCGCGAAAGTCGCGAAGGGGGAGTGCAACTGAACACTCACATTTTGTAAAGACGTGAGACCATGTCGACGGCCTGACCGTAGGCCCTTTTTATGCCCAAGAGAAAAGGTGCGCAACTTCGTGTGGGTTTTCAGTTGTAATTGTTTTATTTTTACTTTTAGCCCGGGGGGGGTAGGCCGCTAGAGGGCTGGTAGAAGAGGTAGCTGCTAGCAACAAGTTTGCTCCTAGCTACGACTCTAGGATACTCTAGGATAGCTCACGCTTCTTCAAGGAAGCGCTCGCACTAATGATTTGGTTCCTAGATTTTTAGGGAAACTTCACTTCAAAGCACGCAGCATTGTAATCAGTCTCATAGCTAGCTCGTGTCATGTTCTTTTTCTGTGCTGCACCTGAACTGGGTACCAATCGCTAAGCTTGAATATTAATGGCAATCAGTCCAACTGTTGATAGAAGACATCAATCTCAACAGAAATTCTGTTCCCTGCCTTGCCCCAAAAGGAGCCCCAAGCATTGGTCAAGTTGTCATGGTTGGTGTACAGTCGGTCATAGGCAGTGCCTGAATTCTCGCATGATTAGAAACACATGGCTAACCTTGAGCTTTTATGACCCCAAATAGCGACCCCTTTCCAGTCCTACGCCCATGGCCGCACTGAGTTCAAACCAGTTGGGGAAGCGAGCACACTCACCACGCGTAGGCAATCCATCCTGACCTGAACGTTAAAGAAACGAGCTCACTTTGAGGAGAAAGACGGGATGCACCAACATTCTATATAGTTTTCCAGTGTTACCAACAGTTTGCACAAGTGGTAGTGCAGGGTGCCTGGTAGAAAAGGCAGTCCAACTGGCACAGGGAAAGGCACCGAGGCAGGCTGTGCTGCCCAAAGTGGCACGCCTTCTCCACAGAATTTTTCGCTCAAAAGGTCCTCACGCAATTGTTTTGGAGGTTAAAAAGTATCCAGAATACTTTAATCCTTCGTATTAGTTTGTGCTGTCCACAGGCCATGTGCAACAATAAGCAAAGCTGGAGTCATCATACAACAAAAACTGGAGCACGCACTGCAACACACAAGAAACGGAACTGGAGTTGCGAATGACAATGCTGACATTGGAATGCAACGTGTAATGTAGAATGAAACCGCGAAACCCATAAGTCCTGGTGCATGTCAGCTAAAATGTAGATCCCATAGGTAGCTGCCTCCATTGACAAAACATGTGCAGCAAAAGCTCAACGGAGTCGATCTTGCACCTCCTGGGCGATGTCTTTGATGATCGCCAAGTAGCTTTCGTTGTAGCTGCTTCTCTGTGGTTCCACACCAGGCCACATGACACCTCAACTTGCAACACTGATGGCATTGTCAAAAAGGCAACACATCAACTTGCTCACTTAGAATCTAAAGGCAGCAGAAGGCACCTAAGCGCAGAAGATTCAAACCAGCTGCCCTCATCAATTCAAAGTCCTTCAGGGAAGCAGCAAAGATTGAAAACTTGGCAAGAAAGTTTCACGCAGGCAATCACTTCCAATACCGTGTCTTGCTCATGACATGCAAGAGCCTAAGAGCAGGTACTAAACCTCCCAATAGTCCAACCTGACTGATACGAGCCTGCGTGGAACTAGGGCTGGTCCCAGCTATGCTCTGAAGATAATCAAGTCCTTGGCCGTAAGAGACGTCCGCGGATCAAAGCCATCACGGCTCGGTATCCAAGGCGGGCCCTTCACGACCGCATTGCTTCCATGGAAGAAGCGTTCGCCTCAAAACATCGTTCGCTTCCAACATCTTCCAGCAACCAAAAATAAGATCTTCCAATACCAAAGTTTTACAAACGACGACATAAAGAAGGCGGAAGTTCACGTGGAGGAAGTACACAAAGCATTGAATCGATTACAACACATTACAGTATTACAACAAACAGTTTCTTTCAATGATTCTTTCATGCAAATCATCACTCTGTGAAAGCAATGAACCAAGCTTCGTCCGAATTCATCGACAAAGTGTCTCTCGCCAGTTGCCCTTCGTCGTAAGCGAATGCGTGGCAATGCATCCAGTGCCTCACAGGGCCTCAGAGCAATTGATTGCAAGGTCATAAGGTAGAACTGCAACATTGTGATGTACAGTGTAACAAGTGGCAGCTACTGCCACTGTTTGAATGTGCGTCGCACTGCTGGACCATATACAGGAACCTGACAAAATCATCCCTCAGTCAGCCCTGGTCACTGCTTCGGTGCCAAATCACCATGGCAACTTTGTTTCCAAAAAGTAATCTCCCAGTCACCCCCGGGAGCCAACCCCAATGGAACGCTGATACCCAAACAAGATTTGTCACCAAAAAACCGACCCAAAGAGTGCAAGACCAATGGAACGCTAGTTCTGAAAGAGTGTGGGTTTGATTGATTTACACCCGCTTCCTGCGTGTCAATCCCAATGGAACGCTGTAGAAATTCTGCCACCAACTTTAGACACATCAGGTGATTCCACTTGAGGAGTCGAAGGTCCGCCACCAACTCGAAAAAAGCTAATCCGCAAGTAGTGGCCCGATGCGATCGGGTTACATCAGGGTCACAGTCCTGTTTACAAGGCCTTTACAGATTTTCTATCGATTGAAAGAAAGTTTTGGCTTTGCATCCAGAAATCCAAAATACAATGGCACACAGCTTCGAAACAATAAATTGTTCTCCTAGGTTGTTTCTAAAACTACACCATTCCACTGCGATTCAATCTTCTACATGTTGACGGGTTCTAAGGTCTTCTATGGGATGCCATGATCCCACCCCCCATGGCACACCGATTCTGACCCACATGTTGGTACCACCTTCAAGCCTGGAAATGCCTGTGTTGCTTCCTGCACTTGTCTCGCATGTATGTAGAAAATTCCTTGTGACCGCTGCAGGACCCACTACAGAATAAGAAACTCATTGCTTCAGCAGGCATTATTAAGCCCTTATGAGTTGCCAGTACAGCGTTAAAACACCTTTCGATGAGAGCCCCAGCATACAACCTAAAAGTAGATCCCTTTCCGCAAAGCCTTCCACCCAAAACAGGTCAGCAATCACCAAAAAAGGTGACGACATTGTCTTTTGCCTGTATCTTTGGTCCAGCGAGCCTGGAGCCAAACTCTTGGGACTCTCTTGCTGAACATAGACTCAGACTCTCTGTTTGGCGGGGGTGAGATCAACTTGAAGGTTTGTGTCCATTAACAAACACAAGCAGCGTTTGCAACTTTCCGCCAAAGAACAACAGGGCCAAAAGAAAGGCTGCCAGCAACGAGTTCTGCATGATTGTAGGAAGGTAGAAGTTCGCCCGGCGCTGACTGTTTGGCTGCCTGCTGTAGTCGTATCATACGATGTATTGCCTACATGAGTCATCTCACTCAGTGATTGGGCTTGATTGTTCTGACAATATTGTGTGATGGCAAAGGCTTGACACAAAATGATTGGCAGGCAGGCCAAATTGTCTCAGCTAGGCTGCTCAGGCATAATAAATTAATATATATATATACAGTATATATTGTATTATACAATAATATATCATATGTTTGTCAAATGTTGTCAGCATAAATTACTGTAAGTCAATTGATGTGAGACCATATGTCCCTGCGAATGTACAAACTATCAAATATTGAACTCTATTGGAAACTAAACATGTTTGAACCATGTTGAACCTCATTGTGACTCATTGTGTGTATATAGACCAAAAATGATCTTGTCATTAGTAAAGCACTCTGCCTGCAAAATTGCTTGGCCTGCGAGTCGAACACGCCAGCCAATTCTATGCCAAATTGGGACAAGAAGGCGGACCTTGTCCGAAGCTGCAGCGAAAACGACATTCGCTTGAAGCAGCTTTGCACAACACAAGAACAGAAAGTCATGTTATAAATACTTTATTTAGAATTGTGTTGTGTGTTTCACCTTCAAGGACCTAGGCTTCTAGACGGGCTGTTGAGCTCAGCTACAGAGTCCATTCACACTAAATCTTGGCATGAATAGCAAGTCGCAAAGTAAGGTGAAGCCTCCTTTGTGAAGAGAAACCTCTTGACTGTTGTGGGATGATGTCAAGGGAATGTGTCCAAACCAGTCCGTGATCGACAAAGCTAATTTGGTGCCTACTCAGCTCTGCTTTGGATAATGCATCTCTTTCTTGGCTCTCCAACGAGTCTTCGCGGCTGTCATGCATGACCTCCATGACTCGCAAAATGCAGTGGGGGGGATAATTCTTGGCCCAACGAATTGCAACACTTACACAAACAAGGGGAATCAAGTATATTCAAGTATGACATACAGTCGATATCATCGGTACAATACTCTCGCCTGCCTTTGTGACGGCAGTGGAAGTCAGAACTGGCCGGAGGACCTCAATGACATCCTTGCGCAAGGCGTCGAAGAGGAACACCTGTCCCACTCGAGTTTTAGGCAACTGGTCAAGAGAGGCATTTTGAAAGTTCTTGCTGTGATCACCAGGTTTAACATGTTGACATATGTTGACAATCTTCTTGCAGATCGACAAGAATTGCGAGCTCAAGGCTCAGTCAGGAGTTGCCAATAAGGCAAAATAATGAGATAGGACAAGGTGGACCTCTCTTGCGTTGAAGAAAACGAAGGAGATCCAGAATCACAATGTGCAATCTCCGTTGCTGGACACCATCTGTACATGTTACAGGAGGTGGAGAAAGCTTGGCAAGCATCGCATGCTCGCCGAAACAATTGCCTCCTGTAAAAAGTGGTACACATTTTGTGCGATCCTAACTACTGCCATGGTCATAGACACTGCCTCACGCTTCGGCGTAGCACTATGGCTTGCCAGCAACGATGCCAAATTATTCATTCTGTACACGAGGCGGACCTTCTCACTCTGAGGAATACTTTTTGCCTCAATTCAGGCAATGGGTGTCCCCATTAGGATCCGGATCAACCTTTCATTGTGATCGTCTGCGAAAGGCATCTAATGAAATGATATATTGTAAAGGCAAACAACTTTTATTTAATGCTAAAAGTAATGGTCGTATTTCCCACATCTTGTTCAATCGAATTTGATATTGGTGCTTGTCTGGAGTCTCATTTTCCAAGCTTTCTACTACCTCTGATGCCACAGTACTATACATGTGCAGGAGATGTCGTAAAATGTTTTATAGCTTACCCCTACCTCGTTCAGCAGGGCCACAACGTTTTGGAAAACAAATGCGGCCACCTCCAAGCTACTATCTATGTCGTTAAATGAATGTGGTTGCTCATATATCCAACGTCATGTGGCCTCCGGGGCTGCTCTATGCTGGCAGCTCACGAAGTTCCTGGCTCAAACAAAAATGGACAAACACAAAGTGCAAGGACCTGGAGATAAGCGTTGTACATGATTCTCTCTACCTCCGCAAAAGAGATGTCGCCACAGCGTCCATCTATCTTCAATATATATATACTATTATATACTCGAATAAAGTTGCTTTGATCCTTCGACGACATCAATAAGCAATTACACTTCTTTCACACTTGATGGGTAGTGAATTCTTACCGACAGAGTGCTGCTTAAACTGTTAAACTATGTTAAACTATTAGGTTGGAGGCCATTGCTAGTAGGTTGAAGGCATCGCCATTAGGTTGGAGGCCATTGCTTCTAGGTTGGAGGCCACTGCTTCTAGGTTGGAGGCCATTGCTATTAGGTCGGAGGCCATCGCAACTAGGTTGGAGGCCATTGCTTCCAGGTTGGAGGCCATTGCTTGTAGGTAGGAGGCAGTTGCATAGGTTGGAGGCCGTCACTATTAGGTTGGAGGCCATCGCTATTAGGTTGGAGGCCATTGCTATTAGGCTGGAGGCCATCGCTATTAGATTGGAGGCCATCCCCAGTAGGTTGGAGGCCATGGCTATTGGTTTGGAGGCCATTTCTTCTAGGTTGGGGCCGTGGCTATTAGGTTGGAGGCCATTGCTTCTGGGTTGGAGGCCACTGCTTCTAGGAGGCCATCGCTATTAGGTCGGAGGCCATCGCTATTAGGTCGGAGGCCATCGCTATTAGGTTGGAGGCCATCGCTATTAGGTTGGAGGCCATTGGTTCTTGGTTGGAGGCCATCGCTATTAGCTTGGAGGCAATTTCTTCTGGGTTGGAGGCCATCGCCATTAGGTTGGAGGCCATGAAACCAATCGCTTTTAGCTTGGAGGCCATTGCTTCTAGGTTTCAGGCCATCGCTATTAGGTTGAAGGCCAATGTTGGAGGTCAGCGCTATTAGGTTGAAGGCCAATGCTTCTAGGTTGGATGCAATCGCTATTAGGCTGGAGGCCATTGCTTCTAGGTTGGAGGCCATTGCTTCTAAATTAGGTCGGAGGCCATGGCTCCTAGGTTGGGGGCCATCGCTTTTAGGTTGGAGGCCATCACTATCAGTTTGGAGGCCATTGCTTCTAGGTTGGAGGCCATCACTATTAGGCTGGATGCCATCGCTTCTAGGTTGAAGGCCTTCGCTCTTAGGTTAGAGGACATCATTATCAGAGGCCATCGCTATCAGGTTGGAGGCCATCACTATCAAAGGCCATTGCTGCATTGCTTCTAGGTTGGAGGCCATCGCTATTAGGTTGGAGGCCAGTGCTTCTAAGTAGGTAGAACGCCATCGCTATTAGGTTGGAGGCCGTCGCTATTAGGTTTGAGGCCATTGGAGGCCATTGCTTCTAGGTTGAAGGCCATCACTATCAGGGTGGAGGCTTCTTTCAAGTTTCAACAACCACACTTCTTCCCCCATTGCGTCGAACAGGTCCAACCCACCTCATCGAAGGGTCACGCACAAACTGCAGGAGCGAGCGGCGTGAAAACGGCCATAGTCTGCAGTGATTGCACTCAGCTTTGGCCAGCTTGGTCAAAAAGCAAAAACAAATCAATGTAACAGCGACCTTTTGCCAGTGCCGAATCTAATTGTTACATGCTTTACAGGGCTTCCTAGGCAATGAAGCAAGAACTCATGACAATTCGACTTGAGATTCGGGCAAAGAAGGCTCCAAGGGGCTCCTCATCCGTCTCAACTTCCGTGGTGCACTCTGAGGCCTTTGGTGTAGTGACAAGACGTAGCACCTTGTCCCAATGTGCCTGGATCTTTGCATCAAAAAGGTGTGGTTTGAGGAATTATCAACAAATGCATACAAATGCCACATGTGCTAGTCTTAATTGAAAAGGAACAACACATGTACCCACCTCCACTTCAGACTTCTGCTCTGAGGCTTTCGGTGTAGCCACCAAACGTCGTAAGGCTTCCCAGTTCATCTGAGGCGTCTCAAGGAATTGCAGCCCAAAACTCAAAACACTTGACGTGGTGATAGCCAAGTTAAAGCATATCTGCCTCTGTGCGCCGGTGTGTATCAATGATTTTCCAAAGCACGGAGTAAGCAACCAATTTTGGCCGGATGCGTTGCCTGGGTGGTTGTACAGCAGCAGCAAACAACACACAACTTCCTCTCTCTCTCTCTCTGTGCCTTACAGGAGAGTTTAGAGATGCATTGTCGCCTTGACTTTGGTGAGGTCGAAACCATTGTAAACCATTGAGTTGTAGGTTGCAAGTCTGTGTGGCAATAACCAGTTGTGTCAAGCCCCATCATAGCCTTGTTGGCCTTCCGCTGCACTCTCTACACATCTCACATCCCAACACAGGTCTAACCACTGATTCAAACGATGACCCAGTGACATGTCAGATTGTGGGCCATCCATCTGGGCGATATTTGTATTCCGAGCGGCCAAAGCGCGTGGCACTTTTTGCGCAGGGCTTGCTTACGCTTGAGACCGGCCGCGAGAACCTGCAGCCCTGCATCCACTTGTTTGCACGTTTTTGTTGCTGCCCGGACGTCCTGATGGGTGATCCAGTGATCTGAGTGCTTCTGCTGAAAAGTCACATCCAAACAGCCAACGAACATCTGCACAGGAACCCCATCCTCGAGGGCTTCCTTTAGGATCGTCGAGCACTGCATAATCTGCCAAATACTTGGTCCTAGCTCCTGACAAGCAAGGCATCAAACGCAGGCACACAACATGTAATGCTTAAAACAAAAACAAACAGTATAACAAGCATGCAGCATGCAACTTAAATAACTAAAATGTGGTGCACGCAAGACCAAAACTGCAGACGGATGCAAAGTGGTAAGCAATCGCAAATGATGATAAATCTGTGTTCTGTAGCGGTCCGTGTGTAAACAAAGTGCAGTGGTTGATATGTACAGTTGAACTGTGTAAACACACACCTGGTCAAATGAAATGATTCCTCTGCCTTGGTTTTGTCGTTTCCACCATAGGCTCAAAAATCATAAACAATCCCGCGCTTCGAACATTGTTGCAAACTCATACCTTCTCAATGCATGGTTCTTACTCCAATTGCCAAGATGGACCCACAAATATGTCCTTCGGGATGGCACAAAGGTGGACAACCAAATAATGGATCACATTTGGTAACTCGCAAATGGTGCAAATGACCCTAAATTTGACAAGAAAAATTCACACGGGAATATGGAGCTACCAAAAGCGGTAGACGTTAGCCTGTTGTGGGTCATGCGTCCCCAGCATCTTGGCACGGGTCCCCATATAACAATATAACTAGCAATGTATATATATATATACACTTGTAACATCATTGTACACCAGGATGCTTGGGTATGATTGTCCCCTGATGTTCCTCAGCTGCACGGGAGAGAACGAAAGAAAGGCACCTAGAGTGTCGGTTTGGCTACAAGTCAAAACCCTGGGACCCTGGTTGCATCGCACGACTAACTGAATCTGATGTCAACCTACTAGGTTTGGGGAACATACAATATGTTCCGACATTTATTTAGGCCAACACCTATATGTGGTGGTGCCAAATCTACTTGTTGGTGGTGCTTGAACGGACAAGTTAGGACATCCCCTATCGTTTTTCATGGTTTGTGTCTTTCCACAATTTTGTGGCATTCCAAGCAGGGAATGCAGCTTGAGAAAAAGGGGTGGACGAACCGTTGGTCAACGGGTGAGCAGCAGCAGCAGCAGATCACCGGTAGACTAGAAACACTAGCACACCAGGAGGGGCAGCAAGCCAGCAGCAAGGCAGGCAACCAGCGTAAGATCAGCAGCAGCAGCAGCAGCAGACCAGAAGCAAACCAGCAAGCCAGAAGCAGCAAAACCAGCAAGCAAAAGCAAGCAGTAGCAAAGCAACAAGCAGGAGCAAGCAGCCAGCAGCATCAAAGCCAGCCAGCACCAGCAAAAGCAGCAGCAAACCAGCAGCAAACCACGTGTACGTGTGGGGATCTGGTCATGTCATGTGGCTGAGAAAACATACTTTGCAAGGTATCGTTGGGGTATCGCTGAAGTCGCCCATATATACATGGAAACAAAAACGGATCCGCACTCTTTCCCGAGCTCTGCCCATGAAGGTCAAGCTGAGTAGATCCCCGGTGCGCAGGCAAAATAGCTCCAAGCTGTGACAACTCTCTAAGGATTGTTCCAATGCAAGTGTGTGTGAAACACCCAGTAAAAACTATATGACTATATGACGATAGCTTTGTCTCTGACTCATGTCAAAAGGCCTCGCGTAAAGAGCCGGCTCCTGAGTGCTTTCTCGGGCCATATCCTCCCACAATTGTGCCCTTGTCTGATAGCTTGCACGCTGAAGATGGCGCCGGCGCGCCTAATGGATCAGTAAGCAGGATATCTCTGGCAATGCTTGAAACAAACACCAGTTTGCAAAAGATTGCAGAACACGTGTAGGTAATGTAGAAAATGGCTGGTCTCAAACTCGCTGCTTCCTGTTGACCGGAAAACCGTTCAACAACCAAAGCCTCGTGGCAAAATTTCACGCTGCTGTCTATTAGGTTGGAGGCCATCGCTTCTAGGTTGGATGCCATCTCTATTAGGTTGGAAGCCTAAAGCCTCATTTCACCCTGCTGTCCTCTGAATGGATGAGCCGAAGAAGCGCTTGGCGGGGACGGTTCCGCCAAGCTCGCTGGATTGTGATGACAGCCTCCAGGCTTTTTGACAGTGTGTATGCACGCATTTCAGTAGAGGTCTAATATAAATGTATATATACAGTAATTGGATACTGTATGAAAATACAGCCAAAACGGACGTTTTTGTCTTGTCCAACCAAAAACTAAGTTCAGCATTTAAATAACAAACCATTTGCATAAAACCAAACAGCAAAATCAACTACATAATTACTTTTCGCACTGTAGATACTCCATAAAGAGTAGTTTGTTTGCTATGTTGTCCCTCTCTCTATTGGTGTCTTGTTCAGCTACTGAGCTAAATGCGGGATTATACTTATACTGTGCGATTGAATGTTCATTACCACCATTTCAAAACCAAACAAATTTCAGCAAAGGTGTAACATATACTGTAACTTATATAACTCTTTTACACATGCTGGTGGTGGCGTTTCCTGGAGGGCTGGCCACTGTGAGCGTACACTTTTCATTGTTGATGCTCTAATTGTCTTCCACAACTATATATCTATAGCATCTGCTGAATGATGTTCAAGATTCATGTGCAAATCAGTTTATATACACAGAATGTTTGAGGAAATATGTGTAAAGTGTAAAGTAAAGGGAACAAAAGGCAAACAACAAACATATGCTCACAGTTGTTTTATTGAATAGTTTGCATTTGCCATATTGAATATGTAATAGCCTTGTTCCTGTACTTTCCTGTTCTCTTTGTCTAGTGGCTTTTCAATGTCTAGCCTAGCTTTCTAGGCCCTTCCTATTCTCAATTATATGTCTACTCTTGCTTTGGCTCTTGCAATTTTAAAACATTTCTCCGTCTTGATCTGCCAATCTTCTTGCTGAACAACTCTCAGAAGGGCTACTTAACAAAACCATTGAGAATATGGACAGCTAGAGCATCAAGACTAGGAAGATCTATTTGCAAATAAAACTATACACTAGTCAAGGATGGAAGGGGCGCCAACAAGAGAAACGGTCATCAAAAAGACAAGTAGGTAGAAGCAGGAGGAGGACATCAGGACAGCACCCTACCGGGCGGCGGCTCATCCGCGCACACGGATTTGACTCATCTGCGCACACACATTTTGTTAGCACTTGCGCCTCATCTGCGCACACAGTTGTTGACTCATGCGCGCACACCTGTCCATCGGGGAGACTCAAGTGCGCACACAGGCCCTTTCCCGCATGTTTGCTCACTTAAAAGGGTCGTCAAGATGGAATGACCACTTCCTCCTCTAAATTTTACCCTCCAGTGGCTCACCGAAGGGTGAGTCAACTTGGAATGACCACTTCCTTCTCTAAATTTTACCCCTGCATGGCCCACAAAAGGGTGAGTCAAGTTGAAATGGCA